CCTGTCTGACAATATTTCCGCTACTACTTCCATTTTGGACTCTCAAAACGAAATTGTCGAAATAATGACTGTTTTCTTTACTTCTTCGCAAACTCATTTGAATTCTTGTCGCTATGGATAGCGAACTAAATCTTTGGAATATGTTATTGTCAACAACACGGTTGTTCAGGTTCGACTGGTTATGATCACATTTTGGCTGCATTTTTTTGTCAAGGGTACAGTACATCAGGTTCCCTGCTGTGATTCAGAACAGTTGAAATTGATCGTGATTCGTACTTATTCCAAATACTTTACGCACTTGTGATTAACATCAGGTTCCCCGCTGCGATGTTACTTTATTATTTTAATTGTCAAACATGAAATCCTGGTTCGATGTACTCACACTTTTTCCGGCAATGAGAGTCTTTTGGACATTTTTTGACATGAGATCGATTAATTAAAGCAGAATATGTATGCTCCTTAATTGTGACTCCTGCAACTTCAAATTCGAGCAATGTTGAACAATTAAGAGGAACATAGGATCTTTTGCCCTTGGTGTTTTTTTTTGTTAAAAGCAACAAAATTGATCAAAATTTGAAGTATAGGGTGTATATCTAGTAACCTGTTGCAATTTCAGCGCATTCTATACTTTTGAGAAAAGAGAAAACGCAGTTTCGAAGGTTTGCGGAAATGTAATCGGGAAAAATGGACCGCTCGACTAAACTAAATAAAACTAAATGCTGGGGGAACTCACTTAAGAAAACCTAATTAATCTAATGATCGAATAGGGTAAAGACGCGAGGAAATGCAAGAAGTGGGACAGTGACTCAAAATGTAGGTTTCCTCAATAAACAAAAATAAGAAAAATAACTTTATTGATACTAAAGCAATGACCAAAAGCCAAACCAGTGTAACCTTAACCAAGACCAACACACAGTAAAACTATTAAACGAAACCCAGAATTGAAACAATTAAAAACACAGTGCCAAAGAAAGTTATAGATAAAATCAAAATGGCTTTCAAACCTGTTAAATAAAACAACAAAAAATACAATCGATTAAAATACACTTCTTCAATCAAATTTAAGAAACACAAAGTCTTAAACATTGAATCCAAACTAAGTTTATAACAAAAGATACTTCCAAGTCCGATCTTTAAAATACAACTTTAGAATGAAATTCCAAAGAAATAAAGGAATAATATGATTGTAAACAACTGATTCTTCTCAGAACCACACAACTCAAAATTATTCACATGGTGTTACCGCAAACCTTATATTCTTTTTTACATGTTTACCATGCAAACATACAAGTCTCATTTAAGAGTAAACGTATGCTCAACTGGATGCCGTTGCTTACACACGCAAAAGAGTGTGCCAGCCGGCACACTATTTTAAAAAACAGCAAAGCCTTCATTTTACTTATTTTATTTTACGCTTAATCAGGCGGAATAATTTTACAGGTTGTTTGAAACCAGTTCTATTGTGAAGTACACTTTCTGTACATTTGCAAGTGATCTTAACTAATTTTAACTTGTTTTTTTGTATAGATGTTTCTCAAAAAAAAAACAACCACCGCCCGCACGTGAGTCTAGTCAGGGCCGTTGATGAACGAATTCCTACCGGAATAAATAATCAATCCAAATCTCATTTCACCCGACAGAGATTTTTTGCGGCGTTTTACTGATACAATTCAGCTATGCCTCCCCCACCACCCCCCAAGTTATCTCCCATCTGACTTTCAATGACTCGTTTTTGTTGATATTATTTTCAGCCAGCAATCTGCTCGAGTGCTGAGGATTCCTTTCGTGAGAGAATTCAAGAACGTTACACTGATTCAGGTGAGTATCTGCTATTTGACATATCCTCACACAACTGTCAGAATTGAGCGTTTATTTAATGGCAGACTTTATCTTTTTGTGTGCATCGATAAACGTTGTTGTCAAAACTGTAACAGAGAACGTCCTTGAAGGAAATTTATCATAAATATAGGTTTTCCGATCGAATTTGTCCAATGTGCATTCAAATTCAATTTCCTTTATTCAAAGTAAGGGATGCATACCCCTTGCTATTCAAAATAGATTTGTTTCTCTTACGAATTGTCGATGTGTATATGTGTTTTAGTTATTAAGGTAAAAACAACTACTTTGATCCGATTTTGGGCGTCTGCATGCCAAAGGAATTTTCATTTTTTGCGCACAATCGAACCCGCCCTGCGAGAAGCGAATTATTGTCTGACAGCCAATAATTTAAAGTTTGTGAAGCAATAATTCAGTAACTAAACTTTGTCGGATTTTTTTCCGTTCCATTACTAATTCAAAAGTAAATATATTATATATTTTCAGAAAAATAGCAATTGAAATGAAATTGTGGAGGTGAAACTCGAAGATAGTACGGGAACTGCATCTTTAAACTAAAGCAATGTTGATAATACAGACACTCAAACCGTTGCTAGACATGCCATTTTTTGTATAGCAACACCATCAATTTAGATTTCATTCTCAGACAATCAGATTCCTCGTCAAATTCACCAGGGTGCCTCGAACTAATGGCGAAACACGCTAAGTTTAATTGTCATTTTGTTTGATCTATTCACAATTAGGCCCCAAAAAATAATAAGTCGGTCTCTGGTCAGCGCGCGCGTCGATTTTAATCATGCGCGTCGATCTTTTTTTTTTCCAAAATGTTCCGCGGTAGCTCCAACAGCGCCCTCTATTTCCGCACCTCCTCAATGTGTTTTTAACCAAAGAGCACCAAGGAATGGGAAATTGCACCAAGGCAAATGATCGAAAGCACCAAGGCAAATCATGGAGGACACCAATGTACATGAGGACACCAAAAAAGCAAAATAGTACCCACCTTGTCTGTACAATCCAAGCTTGAAGAAAAAAAAAAAAAGCAAAAAAAAAAAAAAAGCCGCGTGGCCGCGTCAATTCCGGAACTTTGGTCTGACCAGAGACCGATTTTTTTTTTTTTGGCCTTAGATTCGCAAAAGTAAAAAAATAACTTAATGAAAATAAGTATTGATTGCATCAATTGCTAGTTATTGTTTAAGCGGATTAGTTAGCATGTATATACATGTAATGTTATATTCTTAATCATGTTCTCATGATTTACTAAATTGTGTCCGCAATTACCGTTCTAATTCTTTGTTGTTCGTTGATCACGTTGTTATTCGTTTGTGATTGTTTATAACGTCAGTGAATCATAATATAGTTTTCCCATCCAATTTCGCAACTTACTCATGAAGTCGCAATGTTTACTCTTCAAATGGTCGCAGTTAGAGCGTTCGATTTTTTGGGATATTTACAACAACAAAAGGCGTGTGGACAGCATTTTTCGTGCTAAAAAAATCATTCTATTTTTTATTGGAGTTTTCACCGAGTAGGCGTATTTGTTATAGAGGAAGTATTCATTTTCAGCGAAAGTGCAGTAAAATCAGGAGTCATCTTAATCTGGCATTAGCGATTCGCTAAACGTCAATCGCATTGGCGATAAGAAAGGAAATTAAATAATTCGCTCTTTTTATTTCCACAGAGTGATTACAACAATAAACAAACTGCTCACTTCGGTTTACATATACAGATCTCTCTTTTGAGTGCTCAGAATGTATTTTCTTCTATCACTTTAACATTTTACATTTTTAAACTTCTGTTTTGAAATTTGTTAGGCATTCAATATTTTCTTCGAAATAGCTGTAAATTCCTTGATCAAAGTTTTTCAAAAGCCATGTCATTAATTTTAAACTGTTTTGCAACACTATAACGCAACATCTTAAGCAACTTATGTCATTGAACATGTGCTACTTTTATAAACGTACGCATCAAATTGAATTCTCGAGCGGGACTGAAATCCAAAGCGCAAGAAAATCAAGGCACAAGTCACGTTTTGATGCCTACTTTTTTACTCGTGAATGAAAATACTCTGAACAATTGCGAACTTTCGCTAAATTCAACCGGGTGTTCAAAACGCTTGCCCATGTTTTTAAATATTGAATGAGCAAGGTGTGGCATTGAAATTTGAATGACTTACTACTGCGTCATAAGTAGATGCAGGCGATTTGAATAAACGTTTCAATAGAAATATTGGCCTAATTTCAAGCATCAGTCAATGTCGTGAGAAATCCAACAATGTGCCATAAAAACAATTTGTGCCATCAAAATTAAATGAGAAAAAAACTCACGAGTTTATCTAAATTGAATAATAAAATATTATTTCTTACTAAAGTATAAAAGGTAATCAGTGTTCCTTCGTATGTTTTTCAGCCTTCACTGAACTCCTTGTGATCTCTTCTTGGACCTGATCTTCAAGAACGAACCATCGAGGTGGGTGTGGTGATGTTTAATTAATTATTCTATAAGGACCTGGGAAGGGGCAAAATGTGCTCCGCCTCCCCCCCCCCAAAAAAAATACTACAGCTCCAATGCGCTTTATCCTATTAAGCTTTTCATCAATGTTAGCTCCAGCCCCCTGATACGTCACTGTTATCACGAAGAACACATTCTCTGAACAGCGATTTCTTCAATCTCATGTTTTGTTTTGTTTTCAAATCCGATTGTCATGAGTTAGACTAACTCTGCAGTTTATCTGACATCAATATTTTTCTCGAAAAAAACGGTTGCAACCTGACGCCACTTCCGCGATTGTGTACAAAGTTTATGGAGGATCAAGAAAAGTATTTCCTAACAAAAATGGAAATGTTTCTCAGTCCCAGATTCATGTCTGATCATCATTTTTGCAATGAATGACCTTCATTGAGATGATATAATGAAGAAAAAGGTGACGTCAGGTTGCAACATTTTTTCCTTTTTCTGTACTCGTCGCTATTTTTTTTAAACTATTTTATTTAAAAGAAATTCTCACCTGATTTGTTTCAGTTTAATCATTGTTATTCTGTACAGAATGAAGATCTTCGTGGCAACCGTTCTTTCAATCGCCCTCCTTCTGGGTAACTCCGTCAACCTCCGAGCTTCCGTTACTGGGCCGGTTGCCTCGGACAGTGATGGTCCTGCGTCTCAGACGGGCCAAACGTGCTGCCAGGAAACAGCTGCAATTGTCGGAATTTTACAAGGGTCAAAGGGTGATGCAGGTCAAAAAGGAGAGCCGGGTGACGACGGCAGAGGCCTGCCGGGCAAGATGGGACCAAGAGGTTTTGTGGGGCCAACAGGGGAAACTGGTGTCAAAGGTCAAAAGGGTGATATCGGCCCTCGGGGTCAGCAGGGAACACGTGGTGTCAAAGGTTATGCAGGCGAGCCAGGGCTAATCGGACCGATTGGCCCTCAAGGTGACACTGGGCCTAAAGGTTCAGTCGGGCAAACCGGTCTGACTGGGGTCAAAGGTCAAACGGGTGATATCGGCCCCGGGGGTCAGCGGGGAGCACATGGTGTCAAAGGTCATGCAGGCGAGCCAGGGCTAATCGGACCTAAAGGTTCAGTCGGGCAAACCGGTCTGACTGGTGTCAAAGGTCAAAAGGGTGATATCGGCCCCCGGGGTCAGCAGGGAACACGTGGTGTCAAAGGTCAGTTGGGGCTCCAAGGCCGTACTGGTTTTGCAGGCGAGCCTGGGCTAATCGGACCAATTGGCCCTCAAGGTGACACTGGGCCTAAAGGTTCAGTCGGGCGAACCGGTATGACTGGTGTCAAAGGTCAAAAGGGTGAGCCAGGGGAGACACCAGACGACTCCAACCAGCGGGTAGCATTCACCGTGGTGAGGACGAGCAGCTCGGATACCTCTACGAGTCGCGACACCCGTTTGCCCTTCCAGGCGACCGAGACGCTTCTGCCGGGTACCAGCTTCGATCTCGGGACCGGCACGTTCACGTGTGGTGTGCCGGGCACCTACGTGTTCATGTTTTCTGTGAACAATTATCCTTCCAGCAGCCGCCTGTACGTTCATCTCCGGAAGAACGGCGACGTGGTTGTCTCTGGCCTTAGTAATGATTCAAGTCACCATGAGTAGGTGTCTGGGAGCGCGGTGGTGGTTCTGCAGCGTGGAGATACGATGTATCTCACGATGTACGGTAGGGCGACTAGTACTTCCAATCACTACACCTCATTCAGTGGCTTCCTCCTTTACCCCGAATAAACACAATCCAACACATAAAGATACACGAGCATCGTGTTGCTGATTTTTTTAATCGCTTTCCATTGTTGCCGAAACAATAACCAATGAATTAAAAGAAATAATGTTCAATAACAATGTCACAAAATATTATTATTAATGTTTTTGCATTGCGCATGCGCCGATCTGTATACTACAATGGATTTGCCAATTTTTTTTGACTTTCTGCAAAACAAAATATTTAGCTTTATATACATGAGTATTGAGATATAGAGAAAAGTATGCGTTAAGTTTTTTGACAACGATTTTATTTTTTTGGACCCATTGTAGGCCTATCGAGAAGTATTTTGATGGAATATTTTTTCAAAGCAAGCTGGGTCATTATTTTTTATAGAAACAAAAGATTTGCAATATAAAAGCAGTGCCCCCATATGTATCCAGAAATGTTAACAACTAAAAAAAAAAATGTGTTTATGGTGTTATCTCGACCAACCTGGATTTTTTATGTTCCCTGTATGCCCAGCACAGATAATGTCAATTAAATCAATCCCATGCATGTATCAATTTTTATTTCATGTCACGAAAAAAGTCTCGAGTGATTAAATCTGATTTTCTTATAGACTTTAAGCTTGGCATTTGGATTAACAATTGTTTGAAATATTCTAATGCTATTCACAGCAATTAGAATACACCGGTTTTTATTAAATGATTGCATTATTTTAAACGTTACAATATGCGAGAATTATGTAAAGTAGTACAATTGACTTGCTATGAAAACAGTATGCATAAAACCTCATTCTGAGGATTACCAAAAGCACCACAATTGTTGAAAAATACTCTCTTTTTTCGCTTGGCTTCATTATGAAAAAAAACAGCATGATTTTAATTACTTTCAGTTGAAACAGAAACGTGCCCACAGTAATGAAAAATGTGGAGTTGGCTGTTGTTTTTAAAGCCCGTAGAAGTGCGACAAGTGTTTCTTGATTAACAGACTCCAAATTATTTGAAGACTTTTATTGTTCTTAATCAGCATTACTTGATTGCATTCAAGAAACTCACTTTGAAAACATCAGTGAAAGTGTGAGCCCGTTAGATGGTAAAGAAACAATCTCAACGAAATCAATCAAAACAAAAGTACAAATTCCCTTCAAGTGAGGAGGGTCTTTCAACTGGTTGGAATTGTCCTTTGTCACTTTATCATTTCAAGTGAATTTCTTTGTATTGACTTTTATTTGGATGCCATATTTGGTCAGATGATGAAGTCCCCTGCTGACAGCATATCCTTGGATAATGTCTCCAGCCAGCACATGTTCATGTAAGCTGAACAAGTACGCTTCCTGGAAATAGGTAGACTCCTGCAAGAAATCAAAGAAAAGGTTATAATGGACCCTTCCTGCATGTCAATCAACAGTGCACATTGGCCAATCAGATCACCACTTTTGATCAGGTGACCACAGTAGCTCAGTCAGACTGGGTCACAAGCACTGTTAGATCTATTGCTCACCCCGCCCCCATTTTTGCACCAGCAGTTAACACCCCCCCCCCCAGTATTCTGTAAAGAGTGCCCTTTTTACACAAGTAACTTTTAGTTTTTACACAAGCGTCCTTAGTTTTGTTTAGAAAGTTTCTTGTTTTGCCAGCGGCTTTTAAAGAATTTTTGTTATTTCGTGTAAAACGTCAGCAATTGTGCCGCCATGAAAAGCGCCACCCATTGACCTACCGCCATTTGCGAGTTAACCACGCCCCTTTGACAACTCTATAAGCCTTTTCGCCGATACCGCCATCTTTGAATTATTGTTTTTCCGGGGGGGGGGGGGGGGGGGGGGGGGGGGGGGGGGGGGAGGCATTACAGTGAAAATACGTCTCATCATGCAACTGTAGCTGAGAATGATGGGATATCTTTTCATTGTAATGCCCTCCCCCCCCCCCCCCCCCATTTCAAAGATGGCGGTATCCGCGAAACGGCTCATGGAATTTTGCACGTTATTTTTTGTTTGTCTCAGATTTTGGCGTTCTGCGTCCATTTGTATATCGTGTTTAGACAATATTTCACAAGCTGCGTTGATGCAATTCCTCCGTGATAGGTTAATTGTCCGATAGTGGCCATTATCCCCGATTTGAAAAGCACCCCATAGGAAGATGGTACCCAGCCCCGTCCCCCTACGCCCCGCTTTTGGATTTTACGGAGGCCAGGTGACTAGTGAAAAAAAACCTATCTACATGTTCCTTCAGCACGAATTTGCGAGTGCCCTTTTCATGTCTAAATGACCCCCCCCCTTCCCATAAAAAACAACGTGGCTTAAAATCGTGCAATCTCTATAGACATTAAAAGTAATTTTCACAGCTCTAAAATGGCGAGCATGTGGTTTACCAGTGGTGGATCTACATGAATAGGCGGTCACCTCCCCCCCCCCCCCCCCCGGCGCAAATAATCTAAACATTTTCCAGATCCCCCCACTTGACATCGCACCCCCCAGCCAAAGTTAGATCCACCCCTGTTTAGGATTTCTCGCTAGTTTCTGCTATAGTGAGTAGGTTTGCGTAATTGTGAAGTAAGTGCCCTTAGATTAGCCACTCATTATTGTCATGGGAATTGCCAACACTACAACAGACATTTTTGCATGACACTTAGAAATTACGGCTTTTGCAAAAGTGTAAACAATCAGTTACAGGGGATAACTTCTGTGCTTACAGGGATAGCGCAGGATTTCTGTGCTAGTGTGCTAGATCATCAGCACAGAATTGTGTGCTTAAACCATGAAATTGAGTCTATTGAGTTAGTAGTGGCTTTGTGTACTTACATGACAATGAGCTGAGCCTCCTGGGAATGTTGGAGAAGCAATTCACGGATCCGCATCTGTCTGTTGGTCTAAAAGAAAAAGAAAGATTTCAGGCGAAAAAATGGAGTGATTTATTGATGTTTACTAAAGTCGAGTTCCATGCACTTGGCAAATCAAATGAACTGAGAGTTGGATTGAAAGTGATCAATCTCATTATTGAAAATCAGCCTCCAGAATGTCAAAGGTTGGACACAATTAACAAATGTTGCAAGACTGGACTTAAAATCACACAAACCAGGGACTAAGTGTAAAGTGGATACTGGGAAAGCTTTAAGTGTATTGCCTCCATGCATGGACGAAAGAGGGCGCTTTATAGTAAAAACAAGCAGAAGCCGGAATGAGGGACACTTCACTGGTTCACTCATGCTGGTTATCGTGTATTTGGTACCAGCATTTGTAAGCCACGATGGCGCCCAAATGGCCCTCGTTGATAGTTTTCTCTGTGGAGGGGGGGGGGGGGGTGCTTGAGCGCAAGGAGGAGATTCTACCTTCTCGTTGAGCGTAGTGACTTACTCCTTGCTGATCTTACAAGGAAACTTCTCCGTGGTCTCCCCTGCTTCCTCATCCAGCATCCAGGGTTTAATTGGACAGCTCCTTGAACCGTCTCATCAGGCTCTACTCCTTGGGCTTCTTGTTCAGGTCCGGGATGACCTCCACATCCGAGCAGTTGATGCGGAACTTGCTGAGCATGTTGGCCATGTTCATCTTCTCCCTGTCCATTTGCTCCTTCTTGTCCGTGGTGGCAAAGACGCGCAGCTTGCATTTCCCCAGTTGGAGTTCAAGGAGATGAGGTGAGGGATGAGTAGGTCAAGCCTGGGGGGGGGGGGGTCACAAACAAAAATTATTTGAAACATATATTTAAATAATAAGGCCAACCAAGAACAAAAAGTGTGGTGTTTTCTATTACATATAAAAAAACAACTCTGTGGTAGGGTAGGTAAAAATCTGTTTTTGGGGATTAGACATTTCTATAGCCTACAAATATAGGGTGGGATGATAGTCATTGAAATTTACTTTTTTTCTCTATTTTGCATGCATTAGTTAACGTGAATCATACTGCACTACTGACCAACTTGCACAAAAAATAAATATAAAGTTAATAGTTTTCACTGTGGGGGGGGGGGGGGGGTGCTTGAGCGCAAGGGGGAGATTCTACCTTCTCTTTGAGCATGGTGAATTCTTCCTTGCTGATCTTCCAAGGAAACTTCTCTGTGGTCTCCATGCTGCTTCCACATCCAGCATCCAGGGTTTGGAGAGCTCCTTGATGATTGTGTTGGTCTTGATCTTACCCAACCCACCAATCTAGACGGAAACCAATCAGGAAGGAAAATTTGAATGCATTTGCTCTAAATAAATTGTGTCCAGGTTTTGGAAAAGACTAACGTTAGCGCTGCGAGAAACCTGGACAAATCTGGTTTAATGATCTTGTTATACATTTTGCCACTTTGACTTTAATTTTTTAATTCTTTAAAGACCTGCTTGCATTTTACTCAAACTGTTCATCAAAATTCATTCTGCAAAGTTTTCTTCAAGTACTCAACTGTGAGTACACATTTCGGTACTCAAAATACGGTACTCGAACGACAGTGCCTATTGTCCTCCAACGCTGGTTTGTGCACTAAGTCTATGGGAAAGGTTTAGATCAGGGAACAAAGGAAAACACAAAGCCAATTAATCCTCGGAAGCATAGCAGAAACGACTGTGTGCGCGTAATGGTAAGTGTGTACAGTGTTTGTATATTTTAAATGCAATTTTTCTTTTTCTTTGATTGCAAACAAATATTATACGCATTATACAGTATGTCCAAAAGAAATGTCCGTCTGACTATTTTTGAAATAACTACAAAACCATGAAGTCCAATTTGAAAAAGTTTGATTGTGCAGATACTCCCTATCTTGGCCTCAACCCCGATGAGTTTCATTTAATTTCATTCACCCATCACTGCACAATTGTCAAATGATCACAACAACATTTTGGGACACTGTGACCAAGTTCCTTGCCTTAATCAATTTCAGTGCTGTGTTATTAAAGTAAGCTGTGTAAAATCCTGCATGTTGTGAAAAGGGCTGCAATTGGGATTGGAATCATTTGCCTGGCTATCAGTCATCATGGCAAGACCTCGGTTTAATGCTCAAGGGCAAATGATTCCAATCCAAAACCACATCAGACTTTTTTTTCCACAGACACTTTTTTTTTGGCATAATGTATGACAATTAATAATGATATAGGATGAGATTTGAAGGTTTGCATGGTGGAAAGATAAAGATAGGTTAGATAGACAAGATAAGTTTTGCGGTAGCAGCATGTGAATAAATCTCTTTTCTGAGTATGTGTGGTTCTGAAAAGAACCGGAGGGACTCAGCGTTTCGAACAGTATGCTCTGCCCGTCGTCAGGAGAATGAAGGATTCCAACGATGATGCGATGTTATAAGGATGGGTGCGGTGAGGCGTGAGAAGGATGCAAACTGGTGAAGCTCGAAACCGGTGAAGCTGAGACAGGATGCAAGTTGACTGAAGGATGCTGGATGATCACTGGAGCGTGTCAGTACACAGTGAGGGGGCAAAGGGGAAGGAGCTCAGGGGTATAGTTGGCTTCTCTGATGCGTCGGGGGTACCAGCAGTCGATGCTACTGAGTATTTCTGCTTGGCTTCAGTTGATCGGGTGGTCTTCAGTGTGGGAGTGTTTGACGATGGAAGATTTCTTGAAGTCTCCCTTCCTGCCATGGGCTTTGCGTTCATTGAGTCTGGTGGGGAGGTCCCTGCCAGTCTCGCCGATATACACTTTGCCACATGACATGGAATCTTGTACACTCCTGGTCTGCATTCTGGGTCACACCGATCCTTGTGTGAAGTCAGCAGGTTCTGCATCTTCAGAGGGGCTGTGTGGAAGACTCGAATTCCATGCGCTGGATGTGATGAGACGTGGTGCCTAAGTAGGGGAGGGTGATGGAACTAGAGGCCCTAACTAGTTGGCTTTGGGTATAGGAGACCCAACGGCCGGGAATGGTTCTTGGGTCTTGTGTCTTGACTTGGCTGGGCTGGTATCCGTTGCGCTGCAGTGCTGTGGTGATGTGATGGAGTTCTTGAGGTAGGTGTTCATCATCTGCGACGATGAACACCTACCTCAAGAACTCCATCACATCACCACAGCTTCACCAGTTTGCATCCTTCTCATGCCTCACCGCACCCATCCTTATAACATCGCATCATCATTGCAATCCCTCATTCTCCTGACGAAGGGCAGAGCATACTGTTCGAAACATTGAGTCCCTCCGGTTCTTTTCAGAACCAAACATACTCAGAAAAGAGATTTATTCACATGGTGATACCGCAAAACTTATCTTGTCTTAATAATGATATACTTAGTGTCCGTTAACAATAAAACTTTTTAAGTCTAACGTTATTTTTGTTTTAGTTATGATTTTAGTAATGT